TTTACTTCGTCTGGTGCTAGCTTTGGCCATTGCTACTGGTCTGAGGCGGTGTATGACGTCCACTTCGGGCTAGCTGTTTTGGGAGGTGGAGGGAAGAGCGTCTGGCGGAAGAGGTCGCATTTAGCAGTAAATATAGTTGCAAAATGGGTGGCAGAAAGCTTCAGATTTAGGACTAGCTCTAACCGCCTTGACTTCATATAGGCTAAGGCTTTAAAAATCGATTTAGAATCCTCTTTTTCTAAAAACTAGTTCCAGTGATCCTTTTTAGCCGTCTTGATAGCCTGAAAGTATATATTGCAGGCGCTAGTATAGCGCTCATTTGATTGGCTGGAAAACGCTCGCTTAGAGGCCTCTCTAGCCCGATTCATATCGCGTCGAAGTAATTTTAGTGAATCGTTCCACCAAGGCTTAGCGTATGGCGCTAACCGGATTTGGGGTATAGCATCGTGTGCAGCGTATAAAATGGCGCTAGTATAACATTCCGCCATATCGTCCAGACGGTCTAGGGTTGCTTCATAGCTGCGTTTTGCGTCGATTTGTTCTAAGCTCTTTAAGCTTAAATTAGAGCTTAAAATGTAGCTATAGGCCTGTAGCTCATTTTAGAGCGGTGACAGCTGGCAGAAAAGTTTTTCCCCAAATTTGGTCCAATTTGCCCGTTTTGTGTCGAAACGGGTGGTTTATGGATCCGCTAGTCCTATTCGGGAACCGTTAATAGTGAATGTAATCCCAAAATGGTCCGAGCCTATATCATCCACTATAGCCCAGTCCTAAATGTAATTAGCTATGGATCAATGCGCTAGCATAAGGTCGATATTTATCGGCCTAGCCATATGCAGACGATGGAAGGTGCCAATACCAGGGGTATTTAAGAGGGCTAAATCGTGGTAGTCGATCCAGTCTGCTAGCGTGTTGCCTTCTTTGTTACGTGCCTCGTATAGGGGGTCCCACCACGGGTTGTAGGCATTAAAGTCCCCGCAAAAGACCGAATCAAGGGGCGGTAAGAGCTGCCATAGGCACCTAGCTAGCGTACGGGTGTCCAAATTAGGTAATTAGTGCTTTTCGTTATAAATATTATAAATCTTAATTATGTGATCTTGATCTATAACGTCTAGGACTTGGAAGTCTGAGTCGTTTAGCGAATCCGAGGCTAGGACGACCCTAGGGCGGTATGACCTGGCAATATAAGCCATTGTGCGTGGTGTAATATCTAGGCTAGGCCTATTTAGGAAGAGTTAGGTGAATAAGGGGTGGGAAATCAATCGTATTCCATCTAAATCGCGTATAATAAGGGGCTCTTAAACTAGTATAATATCTATATCTAGCTCAATTGCCACTTATAGCGCGGATTCCGTATTATAGGCAGCTGAATTCAGATTCACTTGGAGGATTTTGGTGCTAGCGTCTATTATAGAGAGGACGTGGGAGCCTTTGATTAGATGCTCTAATAGACTTCACATAGAGCGGAGCTAGCCGCATGTGGACCTCCACAATTGGCGCATTTATATATCAGGTGATCACACCTACCCTTAGCATTGCATATAGTGCATGCATGCTATTTCGTCTAATGTTTTTCCCCGCATAGCTAGCACTTAGCCTCTTTGCGGCAGTAGTGCTCTAAGTGTCCATAGGCTTAACACCTAGTGTATTGGGCGGTGGGACGTGTCGTATAGTGTTTTTCGCATCGTATAGAAATGCCAGCTATATATAGCCTATTTCGGACGGCCGCGCTAGCCTCTTCAGGCATAGCAAATGCAATTGCCACGGATCCAGCTGTCTATTTTAGGCGATTTTCGGCTGATGTGATCCAGTATGGCTGTCCTAAAGGGGTTAGACCCTTATTAAAAGTCCGTATTTCGTCCTTAACTAGCTCCATGCCTTCCGGACAGTTGAAAACAGAAGTGGGGATCCCGTGGGCGACGATTTTATGCCATGTGACGTCTTTCTGGGCGGTGTAGCCTGGCATTAAATGCATCCAGATGTCGGATTTAGCGAGTAGGAAGTCAGCTGAGTAAGCCTCTATAGTTGTAACCACTAGATTGGCCTGAAAGGACTTAGACACTAAAAGCACCACAGGGTCTTTTACTCCTTTACTAGCAAAAGCTCTATTTAGAGCATTGCGGGCGGTGAGAGGCTGAAAATCGTTGTTTTGGACCATAGTATCCTTAATTAGGATTACGCGGCGGCTGGTAAGAGGCTTCTTTATAGCTAGCTTTAGCGGTGAGGACTTTTTGGCAGAATTAACCAAAATCCAGTCCGAATCGGGGTTAGCGGACTCGGCTGCGGCTGCATATGTCTGATTTTGAGTGGTTTTCAGCTGGGGAGCGATTTTCGGCCCGTTTGGGCGGTCTAGGACGGCTGCGCTAGGCCCTTTCGGGTTAACTTGCGGGCGGGTAGTCGGTTTCGGGGCAATTTGCCGGGCGGTGGCTTCTAGCTTTTGACTAGCGGATTCCATATGCGTGATCTCATTGGCTAAAATAGCTGAAACCTTCTTAATAGAGCCTTTTTCGAGGTATTCGCGGAAGATTTCAATTAAATCAAGTATTTGGTCCTGTTTTAGGCGGTCTAGTTCGGCAGCTGCGGCTTTAACTAGGAGGTCACATGCCTCTGCAATAGCCTTATTCAAAGGTGAATCCATAGTAAACCTTGGATTTTTAGCCGGATTAGGAAGCGGTGTAGCTGGCCTCTTCTTTGTGGTAAAAGTAAAGGCGTTGCTATAGTGACCGTTTTATTATTTATTGATATTTTGGTGGCTACGGCTAGCGGAAGGGGCTATATATGCAAAAACAGACGCGTCTGATGCGACTTTTGGCCAGTTGCCGTCCCACGCCGGGCCTTCTAGCTCGTCCGTACTAAATAATGCATTATATGTAGTATCCATCACTGTATCGTCGTCTTCTGCCGCTGCAGACCGCAGGGGTGGGAGGG